CGGTCATGACCGTGTCTGATATTATTTGTGTGCCTTTTGTGCTAACTGTTATGAATTTGTGTTTGAATTGCTTAGTATTTGTATATGCTTTATTTGCTTTGTCTGCTTCAACTTGATTTGTGTGTCTATAAGTGCTTATGTGTTATTTGTTTATTTGTTATCAAGTTCTAGGGTTCTCATTTCTATTATTCTTGTGCAGGTTCTTTTGGCAAAAGATTCCAGAAAAGGAAAAATGAATTATTATGGAGTTGATGTATCTGTTTCAGCTTCAAGCAAAATATGAAACAGTCACGAAGATTGAAGGAAATTATTCTACTGTTTAAAGTCTTACTTCTGGTGCATTGTCTATTGCTGTTACAGGTCCTGCTGAACCACTCTGGCTCTTCTACAGGATACTAAATGATCACAATCTCTTTGAAAATTTCTAGGGAGTTTTGTTTGAGGGGGGAGTGTGAGCAAGCAAAGCGTATAAAATGTGGTAAGTTTAAACATTGGCTTTCGTTTGAGATATTTTCGTCGGATTATCATTCTTGAAGTATTATGATGGATTATATATGTTGCTTGATCTTTTATTGCCTGGTGAACTTGTGTGGATATTGCTCATAATGATAGAAGTTGGATTACTGGTTTCTTTATGGATGGAAGTTGGATAAATTTCTTGCTGACTTACGGAAAATTACAAGGCTGGAATAACTCACTGCCCCTGGTTCAGTCTAATCGGGCACTCCGTCAGCCCACTGATGTTCACCTTTGTTAATTTTTTGGCCAAAAGGGAGAGATAACATAAATAGAGGAAGAGCTTCTTATTTGGTTAAACTCTTAATTTGGTAATTCTGTTGGTTATTTTTGTTAGTTTTTGAATATTATTATGGATATTTTCTTAAAAGTGTTTGGATGTTTAATTGATTCGGTTATCTTATTGGATTATCTATATTGGATATTTTCTATTGGCTTGGTTGTATGGTGATTGCTTTGGACCGTACCCCTGTCTGGATTTCTTTCAGCGATGCAGTCTTCTTCTCAAGATTTCTCTCAGTTTTCGACTGGATCAGTGTCAACGCGTGAACAGAATGCACAACGTTTTTCTTTAACAGTTTTCAGTTTGGTTGAACTGGTTTTCAGTCTGGTTTTCAAATGGATGGTGCCCATTATTTATGGTTTTCTGGTCAGTTTATAATTTTATGTCAAATTAGTTACACTAACTTGATTATAAAAGGTGAAGATTTTAGATTTCACTATACTGAAATGAATCTTTTGTCAGGTGGATCATGATCCGTGGTATAGTGATTGCACACTACTTTTCCCCCTTAGCTTTAGCACATTCTATGTATCTAATTTAGTTAATGCGAGTTAGCTCAAGTTATTTACAATTTAATTTTTTTTTGTAATATTTAATTTAGTATTGGTATATAAATTTATATATTTAGAAATTAGATAAAAACTACTATTAAATCCAATAAGACAAATTTAAAAATCATAAAAATGTTAATAAATAAATAAATAAATAAATAAATAAGAGTTTGATTAATCAATGAATATTAAAGGTAAAATGGGACATAGGAAATATTATTTATATGTGTATGTTTCTTTCGTTCTGGATCCTACATCTTATTGTTTTTCGTTTCTCTGTTTTCTATTTTTTTTGCTATGAGCCTATATTTTATTTAAATTCGATTCTAAAGATATCTAAAATGCTGGATGTGTTTTTTTTTTTTTATTATCAAATTTTAATTTTAGTCATCGACTATTGATCTAATCCTTTTAATTTTGTTTCATTTTATTTACTTGTCACAATTAATGTTTCATTTATAATTTTGTTATTATATTCCACCTTTAAGACTTTAACAAAAAGGACTACCATGTAATTTCATTGTTAAAAGCCTCTTGTCTCAACATGTAATTTCTCTCCTTCTCTTGTGAACTCTCTTAATTAAATAAGAGTAAATACCTAAAATGGTCCCTCGATTATAGCTAAATTCACAAATTGGTCCTCAACTTTCAATTTTAACCAATTAAGTCCTTAACTTTGTAATTTTAACACAATTTGGTTCTCCGTTTATTTGACAATTTGTTGACCATGATCTTTGAGGATATATATGTAATTTAACGATTCTGCATCATTCGTCGCGATTCTGCATCATCGCCGGTGGCTGCGCCGTCATCGACGATCTCCAGAAGAACCTGCAGCTCTCGTCGGAACACATGGATGCCTCCAGCATGACGTTGCACCGTTTCGGAAATACATCGTCTTCTTCGCTCTGGTACGAACTCAACTAGAATGCGGTCTGAGAATGCAACCGGAACCTTAAAAAATCGACGATGGACCATGAAATTACATATATATCCTCAAAAATCACAGTCAACAAACGGTCAAATAGACGGAGGATCAAATCGTGTTAAAATTGCAAAGTTAAGGACTTAATTGGTTGAAATTAAAAGTCGAGGACCAATTTGTGAATTTAGCTATAGTCGAGGGACCATTTTGAGTATTTACTCATTAAATAATGAAATTACATGTTACATCTCTTTCTTAAAATATAGAATGATAAAAATTTAAACAGAAGACTGGCAAAAAATAAGATTCATGATTGTAATAATGAAAAATTAAATTAAAAAAAAAAGACTAAATATAACAATACTAGCTAGTACTACAACTTAATAAGACGCAACATGCCGTCTATACAACTTAATTTTCATATTTTTTAAAACAATAATGTGTGAAACATCTATACACTCCACATCTTTTTTTTTTCCCCCCTTTACGTATCATTTTTCCACTCGCGTTAAGAAATTTCTTCAATGGGAATACCCTAAGGGGGCGTTTGGTTCAGGTTATATTATATAACCAAGGGAATGTGACATTCCCGAGCTTACATTCCTATGTTTGGTTCATTTTCTCAGAGGGAATATAACATTCCCACGGAATGTAACATTCCCTCCACATAGGATTTTGAAGGGAATGTGATTCCCTTCATTTTGTTAAGTAATGTAAGATAACTTTGCATATTTATGAATTTTGTCATTTTAATTCTAATTATTTAAAGATATATATTTTATGTTAGCTTATTATTATTATTATTATTATTATTATTATTATTATTATTATTATTATATTATATATTTTTTATTACGTTATGTTAGCATATAAAATAATTTTGTTTTCAAGTTCAAGATTTTAGTTAATATTTCAAAATCATGTAATTATACATGATACCGTTATCTTATTTATTTATTTAATTTAATTATTAAATTTATTAAAATATATGAAAATATGTTAAGGATACTATATATATATATATATATATATATATATATATATATATATATATATATATATATATATATATATATATATATAAAAGATAACCCTAAACCAAACATGATTATATTACATACCCCAATTTTAACCAAACACAGGAATCTAACATTCCCAGTAATCTAATATTCCCAGCAATCTAACATTCCCTAAGGTAATCTTACATTCCCTAAGGTAATCTTACATTCCCTAAGGTAATCTAACATTCCGTGAACCAAACGGCCCCTAAGAGTTTTTTGCACTTTTGGTCCCACGACTATAGTGGCACTATCAGAATTGGTCCACGACTTTCAAACCTTGCTATTTTAGTCCACGATTATAGTTTTTTGGCAAAAATGGTCCTTCCGGCCACTTTTCCGTCAAAATTCCACCGGAAGAAAATTTCTTCAGTTTTAGGAGGACTAAAATTGCTAAATTTGCCTAGTACGAAAAGTGCAGAATATGCTTTTATATAAAGTGTATTACAAACCTGGAGTATTGATGTTGTTATTGCAAGCGAAATCTCAAATTTAGCCCTGAAGAAATTTTCCTCCGATGAAATTTTGACGAAAAAGTGGCCGGAAGGACCATTTTTGTCAAAAAAAAAAATAATAGTCGTGGATTAAAATTGCAAGGTTTGAAAGTCGTTGATCAATCACTACAAGAAAAATGCACATAGACAACACTAGAAAGACAACAGTTTTTAAGAAAAGTGTTGTCTTTTGTATAAAAGACAACAGTTTGGTCAAAAACCGTTGTCTTTGATGCAACACTTTTGTCAAAGACAACGGTTTTTACTTAACCGTTGTTATAAGTGTGTTGTCTTTGTGCATTTTGTGAAAAGACAACACCACAACGACAACGGTTTTTTAAAACCGTTGTCTATGTGCATTTTTTTTTTTAAACTGACAACGGTTTTTTTAACCGTTATCGTTGGTGTGTTGTCTTTAAGCGCACTAGAATACACAACACTAGAAAGACAACGGTTGTTTAAAACCGTTGTCTTTGTGCGCTCTTTTTTTAAAAAAGATAACAGTTTTATCTAACCGTTGTCGTTGGTGTGTTGTCTTTAAGCGCACTAGAATACACAACACTACAAAGACAACGGTTTTTTTAAAACCGTTGTCTTTGCGCATTATTATTTTATAAAAGACAACGGTTTTATTAACCGTTGTCATTTATGTGTTGTCTTTAATAGCACTTGAATACACAACACTACAACGACAACGGTTTTATATAACCGTTGTCGTTGCGCGTTCTTTATTTGTTTAAGACAACAGTTGTATAAAATATAACTACAAAGATGTTAACAACAAGAGTCGAACCTATAACCTCAAACATAGCAATTAAGGTTTAACCAACTAAGCAACACATACTCTTATGTACCAAAGTGCAACATCTGGTATATAACTCTTATTTTGCGCGGGTTAAAAATTACTCTAGCTAAAGATTTATGAGATAGTGACGAAATTTTAATTTTATACTTATTTTAAAAATATACTCTCACTATTGCTATGAAAGATATTATTATTCTCGTTATTGATGTCTAAAAAATTGTTTCAATAAAATCAAATTCCCTCCAAAATTTTGTTGTTGGGCGCCTTATTTACTTTAACACTTAAACAAATTTATCAAGTTGTTCTTTCTTTCCTCCTCTGCGCCAATCTCAACCCACCCCAAATATTTTTTTAAAAAAATTAAAACAATTATTTTTATATCCCAGACCCCAAATCAGATCTAATATGCTAAACCCTCCTTCACCGCATCCACGCACCCTCCGTCGCACACCCCTCCTCACGCAACCGCCGACGCCGACGCCACAGTCGCCACCCCGGAACAGCTTCGTCGCTCGCAACAGTGCGTCGTCGATCTACAGCTGCCAACGCCGTCTCCACCGCCTACCCTTCCGATCTGCTTCGTTGTTCCCTCCTCCGGCTCCCCTGCGACGCCACATCTCCCAGCCACCGCAGTTCACGTACTTTTAAGGTTCGTTTTTTTTGTTTTTTGTTTTTTTTTTTGTTTTTTTTTTTGTTTTTTTTGTTTCAATGGTTAATAATATATTTTTCTTTTATTATTATTTTGATAAATGTTTTCCAACTTCACTGCTTTCTGGTATGTGTTTCTTATTTCCAGTGAGGGGGGTGGGGTTTTGGCGATCATGGCTGATATTACACTTGTAAGTATAGTTACTGACTTGCTGTCAATTCTTTGATGATGCAGGGTCACATGTACATAGCAGGTTGACTCTGGAAATCCCTATGTTTTGGTTTATTGATGGGGAAACATTGTTAGTTGACAAGCGTTACCAAGCAAAGGCACTATCCGATATGGTTATTGTTGTTCAGTCAGAATCATCATCATGGGAAAGTCACTTAAGTGGGACTTGAGGTTATATTTTAAATCTATGATGGATATTTGGCATAGATAATACCAGCATTATTTTGAATCTAAAATTAATGGTATAGATAGGAACAAATTATTATGAATCTATGATGCATTTATAATGGTATAGATAGCAAACTATTTTCTGACAATGCATATTTTTTTAACTCTGTTTTATTTGTTGGGTATATGCTTTGTTTTCCAGGTAAAGTTGAACCCGTCACTTGAAGATGCTTGGCTGTGCTTGGGTAACTGCATATGGAAGAAAGGGGATTTAGCTTCAGCCAAGAATTGTTTCATGTTTGGTTTGAGCAAGGTCTTTTTATTGGTGCTGTGATTTGTTTAGTTCAGAAGTGGTGTATGGGTAACTTAATTCTGCAGTTGAGTAATATTTCCTAATGCCGATAGATATCTTATGAATTTAATGCTCAGGGACCCAACAAACAAATACTTTGTCAACTGTCAATGCTTGAAAGAAAAATGGCTCAAGGTGATTTTTCTTTATATGCTTGCTACTGTATCATGATCATAACCTTTTCTTAAGATAATTTTGGGATATCTTTATACTTTTATTAGTTAATACCCTGTAAAGTATGTAATAAAAATTTTAACCATCTATCCTCCAAGTCTTTTATTATCAATGAGATTTCCTGTGACTCTGTGAGTACTACTTTTTCTGGGAATAGTGCTGTGGTAGTAAATGAGTCAATCAGTATGAAAAGTTTGAGATTTAAAAAAGAAAATAGTCCTTATTGCAAATGATTTCCAATTATATTGCTGTCTGTATTGACTATGGAAAACATAACCTACTTCAAAAGTTCTAAAATGGTTGAGAGTAGTATGCTTGATTTTGCTTATAGAGCATTTGCACTTGTCATCCTGTTTATCTATGCAGCCTACCCTTTAATTTTTCTTAAAAAAAAATAGAAATTCATAATGTTATTCCTGAACCACATCATTATATGTTATTTAGTTGAAACCACTGGCTCTAGTAATGCTAGCAAGAAGGCTGTTTGCTTGTTACTTGCTTCTTCTTCTGAAACAGATTATGGGGCATAGTAATATGTAAAGCTTCAGTATAACTCATCTTCTCCTTCTTGTTTTGTTCTCCCCATTATTTTGGGTTCCATTTTGGGCTTAGCTTATTAACTTAATTACTCTGTTTAAACGATCTTTTCACCACTTTGCAGGTGCTGAAGATCAAGCAGAAATTGTTGAAGAGAGCAAAAAGCATGCAAAGGAAGCTATCACTGTAGATGTCAAGGATGGATATTCCTGGTGTATGTCTCTAACTCAAAGCTATCACTGCATTTCTATATATGTACATAGATGCTGTGAGAATAGAGTAAGAGATGATGCCAACTGATTGAAAAGTAAGAAAAACAGGGACTTAACATTATGTCTCTATGAGTCCATGCTTAAAAGACAAACAATTGATTTATATATGCTGCTTCTTTGGTTTTCTTCTTAGTTGAGGATTTGAAGTTTATATTATTTATATTATTATCTCTTGTTCTTTTAATTACAATACTTGACTTCAATCTTATTTTCACTATTTTTATTGTCCTGATATATTCAAATCATAGATCCTTAGTGAATTTTGTATCTTCAGTACAGATAACTTAGGTAATGCCTATCACACATCATTTTTTGTCACCGGAGCTTGGGATCTGGAAAACTTCTACAATCATTGAAAGCATACCAAAATGCTGTATGTATGCATTCAATAAAGTTTCAGTTGTCAGTTACCTAATATATTATTAATGACAAAATCCCTATATGTTCTCTCAAGTGATTGGCCCTAAATCTTTAAAGTGGTCTTTTAAGTTCTCATTTCATTGCAAATTTATTATATCTATACTAATTTATTTACTCACTTCTTATATGTAGTTCCAACAAGTTGATTATGACAAAGCGGTTATTGATCTGGTGCGTTCAGAATGGGCCGATATTCTATCAAGTTATATAGAGTAGGTATGATTTGACGTTCTAATCATTTAGACTTGGTTCGTAGAATTGTTTTTTGTAGTATTATGACTTGGATGATGATTCGATTAGAATTGGTAATGAAAGTATTTTGACTTGTTATTTTGAACCTTGCTTAGCTTCTTCAAAATTATGTAACTACACTTGGCCATGGTGAATGAATAAATTGATTTTTTATATGATTAAAATTTAAGCAGGTTAAAAATGGCTTGAGACAATGGTTAAAAACTGTTGTTTATTTTACAATAGACAACAGTTTATGGGCGTGACTTTTAACAACAACGATTTCAACAACACACAATAGACAACAATTTATAACTGTTGTCTTTTAAAGAAAAGACAACAGTTAAAAACCGTTGTCTATGTGCATCACTTTTAACAACACTGGTTTCAACAACATTGAATAGACAACGGGTCAAAAATTGTTGTCTTTTCTAGAAAAGACAACGGTTAAAAACTGTTGTCTATGTTCGTGACTTTTAACAACACCGGTTTCAACAACACTTAATAGACAACGGTTAAAACACCGTTGTCGTTTATAGAAAAGACAACAGTTAAAAACCGTTGTCTATGTGCGTGACTTTTAACAACACCGGTTTCAACAACACATAATAGACAACGGTAAAAAAACCGTTGTCGTTTCTAGAAAAGACAACGGTTATTAACCGTTGTCTATGTGCATGACTTTTAACAACACCGGTTTCAACAACACTTAATAGACAACAGTTAAAAAATCGTTGTCGTTTCTAAAAAAGACAACGGTTATTAACCGTTGTCTATGTGCGTGACTTACAATAACACCATCTTCAACAACACTTAATAGACAATGGTTAAAAACTGTTGTTGTTTCTAGAAAAGACAACGGTTATTAACCGTTGTCTATGTGCGTGACTTACAACAACACCGGCTTCAACAACACTTAATAGACAACAGTTAAAAAACCGTTGTTGTTTCTAGAAAAGATAACGGTTAAAAAACCGTTGTCTATGCGCGGGACTTACAACAACACCGGCTTCAACAACAGAAATTATACCCCTACGACAACGGTTATTAACCGTTGTCTATGTGCATTTTTCTTGTAGTGAATTCTGATAGTGACACTATAATCGTGGGACCAAAAGTGCAAAAAACTCAATACCCTAATGTATTCAAATTCTATATAATTGAGGAGCTAGTGTATTCCTATGTACCCAAATTTTAAATATCAACTGTCATTCTTACGTTGGACTTTGTACCAAATGTTATCCAATTCGCGTGATTCGTGAAGAAAAGTGTTGGAATAATGTCCATCCAAATTCGCAATTGGCAGCGACGACCTTTGCACAGACTGCCACAAATAGACATTAAGGTAAAAACTAAAAAAAAGTCATTCAATTGTTAGTACTTGCAAATTCGATGTCCATTAGGAAGACAGATGAATGGTGACCCCAAATTAGTTGTCTTATTATTATAATTAATTAAATAAGTTTGTGATATGATTTGATGAGTCAAGTCTACCTGTTGTATGCTTTGCAATTGTTGAGTGGGCACAGGAACAATGCAACTGTCCCACTTATCCCTGTTTTGCTTCTAATTTTATATTCTTCGGACGAAAAATCATCATTATTAAATCAATTTTTTAAATTAAATGTCTTGATTCCAAATGGTTGATAGCCTACGTTTTAGCTAGCTGGCTTTTAGGTTTTAATTACCCTAAGTAGCATCTTATTATATCACTTTTAGGATAGCCCCTTTTGCTTGGTATTTAAAAATTTAGGTGGGGATTACTTAATTAAGATTAAAACATTTGAGACAATCCAACTAAATTGGTTAGCTATTTGCTTCATAATTACAATATTTTAAATTAACTTTTTGTAAAAGTGACCGATTTTCTTGGTTTGAGTCTGTCAATTATGAACAATTTAAGTTGATTTACGTTCTTATGGTCCTTTGTCAGTTATTACAATTTAAATTGATTTACGTTCCTATGGTCCTTTGTAAGTTATTATCGGCTGATTTACCTCACTGTAATCCTTTATTTAATTTAATATGACTATAAGATAGAGTTTAATTTACCTAATATATATCCTTGATAGTGAGTACATATTTCACTTGTCATAAAAAAAAAAGATTAAATTAAAAGACTTGGACAATGCATTGTTAATAATGTCCACAAAGAGATTAATGGCATAGTTTACTATCGAATTTTTTATATGATGTTATTTTATCTCTCAATCAATCTTTTTATCGAGCCTCTAAATGAGTTACTACTTGCTTTGTATGACAAATTTTAGACAAGGAGGGATTACTAAATTTACAACTAAAGAGTAGAAAAATCAAATTATAAAGTGATTTTAAATGAAAGAATCGGTAAATTCAACGAATATAATTTCATTGACTTTAATATTGACCGTAGGTGCTACAAGAGCATACATGCATGTTATTATACATTTTAGTTAAATAATCTTTACTAATTTCAATGCATACACTCAAGTATACGCATATGTAGGCTTGTACTAGTTGTAAATACGCACCATTTGTGATAATGATTGAATAATGTCCAATGAACAATAAAAAGAAATTAGTAAAATTAATTGATCAAAATAATTAATTAATTAAATAAACACATAAATCTTATAAATATTAAAAGATAGAATTTTAATTTTTGATGATAAGAAATATTACTCACTCCGTTCCATTTTTATTTGTCTGATTTGGTTAACAAGGCTTGACTAGTGTTATTCATAATTCAATTTTTTTTTTCATAATATTAAGTTAGTATTAGTATATAAAATTTATATATTTTGAAACAACATTAAAATTACTATTAAATACAAAAAAAAATCAAATTTTAAAATAATTAAAAATTACTAAAAGAAAATAAGCAATGAAAAAAGAGTTGCTTTAACCAATAAATAGTAAACAGGACAATCAAAATGAAATAGAGAGAGTATTATCTAGCATAATTTTTTAAAAATGCATTGAACATAGTATGTATTGTGTTTCATTAAAAAAAGTAGATTTTAGCAAATGCAATTAGTTTTTTTTTTTTTTTAATTTCAATTTCTTCTATTATAATTATATTTTAATATCAATTCTATAATAAGTGAAATAGAAATATTTTGTTGACAATAAACCAATAATGCATATATTCCACATCAAATAATATACAAATGAAAAACTAAACTCTTTTACCAAAAAAAAAAGTGAAAATTTAATTTTTATAAAATAAAAGTTGAAATAAATACAAGTTACATATTCAAATAAGAAAATCATATGAATATGACCATAACCTTCCATTTGGGAGAGTCACTTCATGCCGCTTGACTACAAGATTTTTGGCAAAAATCATATGAATATAGATATACATTATTCATTAATTTAAAAATATTATTAAATTAAACTATATTTATAGAAATTAGAAACTACATATACACACATGTATGCATGTGTTTATATTTTACATAGTGGGAGTAGAAACGACAAAAGAAAAAAAAATATAGAGGATAAACTTGGTAAGAAATTACAAATGTACCACACAAAGAGCACAAAATAAAAAGTTTTTTTTTTTTTTTTTTGAAAGGAGCCTGTACGGCATTTATTCAAAATATGCAGAAATAGAAGCTGGTGGATCTGAGTCCGAGTACATAAAAGTCGAGTGAGTAAAAGCAGTAGATGCTAATGTATGAGCTAAATAATTATCTAATCTAGGAATATAATGAAGTAAACAATAATCAAAAGTCGATATACTAGTCCTGCAACTATCAATGGCATAACCCAAGTAAGACCGTGACGAGTGTGTCATAGATGATAGATATTGTTGAAGCACCAAACAATCCGTGTAGAGCTCGATAGACTTTATTTCGCGGTTTCTTAACCACGATAAAACTTCCTTGCATGCGAAAGCTTCCGCCATTAGGGGTGAAAAACAATCTATCATTGGAGCAGTCATAACCGAAACGTAACCCCCTTGCCAATTTAGAATAATAGCCCTCACCGCTACTTTGTTTGTTCGTGGGTCGTATGCCGCATCGAAGTAACATTGATCCCTCATGTTTTGAATAATATGGTGTGAGCTGCTTGGCGTGGACAGATGTGGCTGATGCAATACCGTGGTTGGCATGGCAGCAGTAGCATTCCTCGGTAAGGACACTGCCGTAGCAGTGTGTTCGGTTGATACCGCTGCTGTACGGCGGTTCGAAGCCGTGGGGTTGGTCAGCGGATGCTGACGTCCGGGATGGACTAATTTCCAAGCACTCACAGTTGATGATGCCATTACAATCACCTTCCGAGGTCTGGGCAGGTACGCATCCCATACAGCTCCATTCCTTGTGCGCCAAATATAATAGAGAATTGCCACTGCATAAATAATCATATCATCATCTAAAACATTCATCAAATCATTAAACCAATCACTAAAAATATTTGTGACACTATTGGGGATTGAAAGGTGGGATTGTGCCCAAATGTCTGCCGTATAGTCACACGTAACTAAAGAATGCACAACATCCTCATGTCTAACTCCACACATAGCACATGTTGGGTCAATATCAACCCTCCTTATAAGTAGGTTCCTCGTAGTGGGTAAAATATCATTTAGAGCTCTCCATAAAAATGTTTTCCACCTGGGGATTTTAAGCTTCCACAAATTTTGCCATTTATCAAAGGTCCCCACTGGTTGGGTGTAGTCACCAACTACGGTTCTATACCCATTTTTAACAGAATATTCTCCTTTTGGGTCCCCATACCAGTACCACAAATCTTCATAATCTGGTGACACAGGTATTTTTAAAATTCGCTCCACATCCTCAGGTATGAAAATATCTTTGAGAATATCTTTATCCCAGGTTCCTGTCTGTTGATCCATCAGACCCATTACCTTTGCCTGTGCCAATTGGGGTGATTTTTCTGTTAATATTTTCGGCTGAGTCTCATCATGTAACCATGGATGGTCCCATATCAAAAGTTGATTTGCCATTCCCAATTCTGCGTCTAACTCCCCCACAAATCAAATTCTGCGATGCCAAAATACTTCGCCAACAAAATCTTGGGTTATTTCCCAAGCATGCATCATAGAAAGAGTTAGTGGGATAATACCTGGCTTTATAGACTCTTGAAACCAATGATTGTGGCTGTGTCAGAAAACGCCACGCTTGCTTACCCAGCATAGCAAGGTTAAAGGCTCGCAACTCTTTAAACCCCAATCCTCCATATTTCTTTGGGATACACAGCTTATCCCATGCTTTCCAATGAATACCCTGATCATTCTTCGATCTCCACCAGTATCGATTCATGGTTCGCTCAATGGCAGTGCATAGAGTGGTAGGCAGTAAAAAGACACTCATTGAGAAGGTAGGCATAGATTGAGCCACACTTTTCAATAGAACTTCTTTTCCTGCTTGTGATAAAAGTTTTTTATTCCATGAGCTAATTCTCTGTCTTATCTTATCCTCAATATAAGAAAATGCCGCCTTTCTATTTCTGCCCACAAATGATGGAAGCCCTAAGTACTTCCCAAAATTCTGAGTCTGCACCACTCCCAATATATTGGCAACCTCTTCCCTTGTTTCATCTCTTGTATTTTTACTATAACAAATACTCGATTTGTGATAGTTGACCACCTGGCCAGACATTTTTTCATATTCTGACAAACAACATTTAATCACACCCGCTTCTTGGGCATTTGCTTTGAAAAAAAGCAAGCTATCATCAGCAAAAAATAGGTGGGTAATGGAGGGTGCCCCTCTAGCAACTCTACATCCATGTATCTCTCCCTTCGCCTGTGCCTGTTGTAATAATAGTGAAAGCTCTTCAGCACAAATAATGAATAAATAGGGTGACAGGGGATCACCTTGTCTTAAACCACGAGTCGGGATTATTTGATCACTCCGTGAACCATTAACTAGTACACTATAAGACACAGTGGTTACACACATCATCAACAACTCCACCCATCTTTCATCAAATCTTAAAGCCATTAGCATTTTTTGCAAAAAAGACCATTCTATACGGTCGTAGGCCTTTGCCATATCCAGCTTTAAAGCCCCCAAACCTGTTAGTCCACATTGCTTCCTGTTTAAATAATGGCCAACTTCCGCAGCTATCAAGATATTATCTGTAATTAGTCTCTCAGATATAAACGCACTCTGAGACTCAGATATAATATTCTCCATTAGTGGTTTCATTCTGGCTGTAATAACCTTTGCCATAATCCTGTAAATGACATTACTCAAAGCAATTGGCCTATAGTCAGAGACGATCTCCGGGGTTTTCTTCTTTGGGATCAAAATAATATTTGTTTCATTCAATTTACCAGGTAACGAGCAAGTATTCAGACAATTCACGATATAAGAAGAAACATCAGTGCCCACCACATCCCAGAAGTGTTGGTAAAATCCGGGGTTCATCCCATCCGGACCTGGTGCTTTATCAGGATACATTGAAAATAATGCAGATTTTACCTCACTCTCCTCAAATGGGCGCAATAGCCCCTCATTCTGTATAGCCGTTACTCGTGGTTGTATACTCTCAAAGAAATCATCATTAATAGCAGGAGAACTTGAGTTAAAAATACCACGATAATAATTCAAGATAATATTTCTCATGGCTTCCCCCTCAATCCAATCCCCACTATCATTCATAATTTTAGTAATAGCATTCTTTTTCTTTCTATGAGAAGCATACCTGTGGTAAAACCTGGTATTTGCATCCGCATCCTTGAGCCAATGCTGCTTGGCCCTCTGTCTCCAGTAAGTATCTTCCTGTAATTCAACACGTGTCAAGCACTCCTCTAATCTCTGAAACTCGGCTAGAGACACTGGATCCGTACACCCTCTGAGGCGCAACTGTTCTTTACGTAAGCACAATATTTTTTCACCAAACTTATGGAATCGGTCTCTACCCCAGCGTGTTAACCGATCACCACATAATGTGACACACTCCTGTAATCCCCTACTTCTTCCTTCGCCCCATGATTTTTCCACCACCGCTCGACATCCTTCATCATGTAGCCATGCCATCTCAAATCGAAAACCTCTTCTCAGGCCACCCCTCCTCTCCCGAAGATTGAGAATCCCAAGGAAAAGAGCTGAGTGATCTGACTTCCGGGTTAAAATATTCTGCACATTTGCATCAGCTACCAACTCCCTCCAATCTTGAGTGGCCAAAACTTTATCCAATCGCTCCTCTATCCAGTTTGGTGTACCTTTCCCCTTCTCCCAAGTAAAGGGATATCCAGACATTGGCAATTGTGTCAAACCACACTCCTCAATAGTTTCTCCAAAACCCCGTAACAAGTTGTCTGGATGGGGATTTCCTCCTCGTTTCTCATACTGAAATAAGAGATCATTAAAATCTCCAATGATTACCCATGGTAGATCAGATTTTTTGGCCAATGAATGAATAAGGTCCCACGACTCCCTTCTCTGTGGACGTTTCGAGAAGCCATAGAAACCAGTCATCCTCCATTTATCAAAACCCAGCATACTCACTTCAATGTCTACATGATTATCAGAATAGCTTAATAACCTTGCTGTATTATTTGTTCTCCATAACAATGCCAAGCCTCCACTCAATCCAGAATTATCAACATTAAAAAGACCATCGAAACCAAGCTTAATCCGAAGTCGTTCTGCATGATCCCGGTTAACCTTGGTTTCTATCAGAAATACAAAATCGGGTTTCTTACGGGACACCATGTCCTCAACTTCCCGAACTGTCCATGGATTACCCAAGCCACGGCAGTTCCAGCTCAAAGTACTCATTGGGTCGGGCGGGTCTGCACCGCAGCACCCGCCATCTGCAAGTTTTTTTGAACATCTGTCATTGCTATATCCTCCTCCACCACCACTCCCTCACCCACCCGATGCCCCCTACTACCCCCATCCATCCCCCTTCTCCTCTTCATTACTGCATGCATAACCCGTCCCCCCTCCAAACCACCCTCCCCCTCCAAACCGCCCTCCCCTTCCACATAACCCGCACCCCTCCTCTCTGCTAGCGAGCCATCCCCCTTTGGCTTTCCCCCCAATGGCACCAACCATGGGTCCCCTATCTCCCTCGGACCACGCACTCCCCCTGCTCGCAAATCATCACTATATGGAAACTGATCCACCGGTACAGTTGCATTCCGGGCTTTTAGACAGAATCTATAAGCATGCCCCATCATTCCACAGTAAAAACAAAAAGTATGCAATCTTTCATACCTGAAATTGATCCAGCAATATGACTTATCACGTTTCAACATTCTCATCCTTCGTTTGATCGGTTTGTCCACCGGGATTGCAACACGTATTCGATAATACGTTAGCCATGGCGCATCAAGGAAACGATCATCCAACTTAATAAATTCCCCCAAAAAATTCCTGACCTGCTCAAGAATTTTATCCGAAGTGTATCCAAATGGCAAATCATAGCATTGTACCCATAATTCCACCGTATTCAGAGCAACCTCCGTTGGAATTGCACCTGGCGGGAGTTGTTTACAAACTAGCGTGTGATTTTGGAACGCCCACGGACCTCCCTCCAACATATACTATATATCCGTGTAATGGTAGAAAACAAACATAAACAACTTCGGTTGCACCTCCGTCATCTGCACTCCACGCACCGGTTGCCAGACCGAAGCAAGTACTTGGCGCATGAATTCAACTTTGATCGCCTTATCCGTTAGAAACCGCCCGATCAATACCCAAGTCTCCTCCTCCTTCTCAGCCCGGTCATCATCCTCCTCCGCCTCGCCCAGAATCAGCGTCGCCTCTTCTTCCTCGAGGACGAGGTCAGCCCACCGCGACGTGAGACCTGCTATCTCCCCTCCAATGGATGTCGACGCCATTCAGTTGATCAAGCAGGTCGTTCGAAGCACTCCTCCGTCACCTAGACACGTCGGACCACCGCAGAAAAGCACTGAAATTGTCGGAAAACTAGGGAAAAAAACTAGAGGGAGAAAAAAACCCTAGACACGGCTAGAGAGAAAAAACCCTAATAAAAAGCATTTAATGCCACTTAAATCACTAAGAGATTTTTAATTCTAATTAAGGACTAACGTTAAAATAAAGGTAAAAAAAAATGTTAATGGTAAAATTTGAAAAAAAAAAAGTGCAATGGAACAACACAAATAACATAAAGAATAAATACTTAATACAACTTATACTACCAATATAATTTTCATTCCAGTTAAGGACTAAAATTATTGACTCTTATTAAATTTTACTAGTATTTTTTATGCACGATAAGCAAAAAATATGTGCCCAATATTAGTACTTTATATTAAAATTTTAAACTTATTTAGATTTTAGATATTTAAATTATTGTAAATAATAACTAACATATAACTCCAATATATAATGTGTATATATTATTATTATTATTATTGAAGAAGATAAGAAAATATATGGTGGATGCATGTGCATGGTAACAATAGTAGAAAAATAACAGAAGTTATAATGACAGGGATATGTTTGTCCAAAATATTGTAAAATACAACTTTTATAACATAATGTATATAGATAAAAAAAAAAAAAAAAAAAAAAACTTAATAGACAAAACAGACATAAATGAAGGGTATAATATTCATTCACACTTATTATGTTTTTAGATATAGATATTAATGAATTTTAATTTAAGGAAAAGAAATTAGAGGCTTTTAATTTGTTTGGTGACGATTGTAGCATTATTATTTTGTTGGAAGCAAAAAATCAGATCAAGCTATATTAATAATCGAAATCAACTTAGCAACACACGAAGTAGGTAAACCTAAGCATTTTACCGAATTAGTACGTAAGAGAGTTGGAGTTCTTATGTAATGCGTGGGCAATCGAATTTGTTGATCGTCTAAAATGCCTGACAATTAATTTTCTAAAAGAAAAAGTTAAGGACACACAGTCATTAATGATGTCGTCAACGTAAGAATAATCGGTGTGCCTAAAGTTGATATCTTGAACTACATTGAAGCAATCTGTCTCCACCACAACATCCATGTACCCTGGTTATTGAGCCAAGAATTGAAAGGGTTTCTTTGCATCCGATGGCTTTGGCGAGATAAGTATCTTGTACGCAAAGAAGTTAGTCGCTACAGACAGTGTTGTAAAAATTGACCTAGGCGGTCGTTTAGATGTTAGGCGCCCTTAGGCCGATGAAAATTGGTGCTTAGGTGACCTTTATACGATCAACTGACTAGGTGGTCAATTCAGTCAAGGTTTTTTTTTTTTTTTTTTGGTTTTTTTTTGGTTTTTTTTTGGTTTTTTTTTTTTTTTTTTTTTTTTTTTGTAATAATTGTTTTTTTCCCTAAAAAATGCTATTGTTTTAGGCGAAACAAACCAAATTACAAAATCTCCCAAAAATAGTAAATTCCTCAACCAAAAAAAAAAGGTATTCATAAAATATCAAGCTGAGGTCGCTACCGCGGACCACCAACTCCCTTGACTGCCTTGAGTCCCTTCCATCATTGGTGGCACAGCTTCCCCGTCACCAGTTGTTATATTATAGACCGCGGTGCATAATCGATTATGCACCGCGGCCCATATACGGCGCCGTTTCTTTACTTAAAGAAACGGCCCGCCGTTAGAGTTAACGGAGTCCGTTTGTTTGGTGTATTAAACACCAACTGACACTACAGTATATCCAAACCGACACTGCAGTTATATCAAAATGATACTGTAGTTATAGTGAAATGAAACTGCAGTATATATAAACTGAAACTGAATAACATTTCACATATTTAAGTGTATATTATACAATGAAGCTGTAATTATATCAAAATGATCATGTAGTTGTGTTTTAATAAAACTATAGTGTATATAAAATAAAATTAAATAACATTTTCACATATTTGAGTCTATAAATATCGAATGAAACTATAGTTATATCGAAATGAAACTGTAGTTGTGTTCAACTGAAACTGCTGTGTATACAAAATGACACTGAATAACAGAGTTACTTTTTGTAAAAGGGTGCGAAACGGCGGAAATAAACACTGTTAATTTTTATTTAAAAAAAAAAAGACGCGCGGTGCATAATTGATTATGCACTGCGGTGCATAATATAATTTGCCCCCGTCACAGTTACTTCTCAGAAGTCGTGGCACAATGTCGTTGAGTCAGACCAGATTCCATAGCGAGCACAACATCGTCGGTTGCCAGTAGCCAGGCTCTTCGTTGCCGTTGGACCCGCCATTACCGCTGATCGCTAATAGTCACCACTCACCTTAACTGCCTTGGGTCGTCCCTTCCATCATCGGTGGCATAGCCTTGCCGTCGCAATTGCTACTTGGAAGTCATGATACAACGTCATTGAGTCGGACCAGACTCCATAGCAGGCACAACATTTTCGGTTGCTAGTAGCCAAGCTCCTCGTTGTTGCCGGACCCGTCATAATTGGTTTAGAACTTTAGCTTTCAACCGGTTTAATTGGTTTAGAACTTTAGGTATCCTCTGATTTTAGTAATCGTACTTTGCAACCGGATTTTAGTAAAGTCCTAAACCAATTAAATCGGTTAAAACCAGAAAAATAACAAAAGAAAAATATGAAGAGACAAAAATGCCCTTACTAAAAATAGGAACAGTCATGAGAAGGACTAAAAGTGTCCAAAAAATAACAGTCTGGGATGTTAAATGGAAAAAACGATAGTCTGGGACTAAATTCGAAAATGCCACCAAAGACAAGGGACCTCTAGTGGAATTGACTCTTACAAAAATGACACCAATTACCCTTCTTTAATCAAAACCCTAATATCTAAATTTTTTCTAAACACTCTTCTCCTCTCAATTCTTTACCGTAGGTGTTTTTTTTTATAACAATATTGCTACTTTACTATAGGATGCTAGATCATAAATGTGATATATATATATATATATATATATATATATATATATATATATATATATATATAGAGAGAGAGAGAGAGAGAGAGAGAGAGTTGAGTTAAAATGAGGACCACTATATTATAGAGGACTGTGCAGATTGGTGTAGTTGTGTGTCATTAGTCTGTATGTCGTGTGCCTGGCCTAATGTAGTCATGTGCCACAGTTTGTATGTCGTGCGCATAGGTTTGTTAATTAATAGAGCTTTGGTTCGAAACCTGATGTTTACATGTATCCTTGTGCACCATTGTGTATTAAATTGTGTGCATGATACTAATTTATTGTGTGCCCGTAACTAGTCCGCACAATCCTCTATATATTGTGGTCATCATGTGAACTCATTATATATATATATATATATATATATATATATATATATATATATATATATATATATATATAAATGGGTTCCCGTGCGGTTGGCCTTCTCAGGTGCGATTGTGTTGTTGTTAAGGTGCGAGGTTTGTGTACTTAAGGTGCGTGGTTTCCTTCTTAAAATGCGTGATTTGTATGCTTAAGTTGCGTAAGTTATTGAAACTTAAAGTTGTTAAGGTGTGAGATTTGTGTACTTAAGGTGCGTGGTTTTCTTCTTAATATGCGTGATTTGTATGTTTAAGGTGCGTGAGTTGTTGTTGAAACTTAAGGTGCGCCACTTTAAACCTTAGGTGCGTGGTTTGTGTTCTTAAGGTGCGTGGTTTGTGTACTTAACGTGCGCCATTTTAGTGAAAGTGAAACTTTTTTACCAAGGTATGTAAATAAAAATAATGTTGTTTTCAACGATAAAAATAATATTTAATGTGATACATAGTGATTGATTGTCTATTAAACATGTAGTATGATTATATATATATATATATATATATATATATATATATATATATATATATATATATATATATATATATATATATATATATATATATATATATGAAATAAAAAGATAAAAATAAAAAGTATATGAGTATTTATGAAAGTTATGAAACTTATTGTAAAGGGAAAATGACACTTTTTCCCCCGTGTTATATACTTATAGCACTTTTTCTCTCTGAATTATTTAAGTGGCAGTCCCCTCCCCCCCGATATGTTAAATGGACATATTTACCCTTAAAATAACTATTTCATTTATTTTTCTTCTCCAACAAATTATATCCATGCTGTGGTTCAAATCGAACAGACACTATAACAACCAAACAGAAAGGTTATGATGACAATTTAGGACCGGAACCCAATATTTATAATTTATTAAAATGGTGAACTGGAAATGTCCGTTCATGTTCTGAATTGAAAAAATAAAATACATTAATTGTTGAATTTAAAATATTTTTAAAATAAAAAAAAATAAAATTTTAAAAGAAAGTTTGAACCAGCAGTTCAAATTGAATTCGAAACTGTGAACCGACAGTTTAAAATAAAAACAAATCGTGGTTATATGTACTTGTATGTGAGAATCAAAATAAATGTGAAAAAGAACATACACTATTTTTTTTTGAATGCAAGAACATACACTATTTGCAAATATTATAATTCTAATTTTAAGCTAATGCTAGTAGTTGTTCAGATTTGAACCTTCAGTTCATGGTTCATGATCCATTTTTTCAGTTCACAATTTTAATAAACGGAAACTCAAATATTGGGTTCTGGTTCTGAATCATAATCAAAAAATTTCGATTTGATTGCTATAGTGTCCGATTCAGTCCGAACCGAACCGTGGTTACATATAAGCAATAATTTATTGAAGAAGAGAAATAAATAAAATATTTATTTTAATGGTAGAAATGCCCATTTAATATATCGGGGGGGGGGGGGGGGGGGGGGGGTAGAATTGTCACTTTTATAATAATTGAGGGAGCAAATGTGGATGCATGAATAACTCAGGGGAAAAAAGTGCTATAAGCATATAACTCAAGCGGAAAAAGTGTCATTTTCTCTATTGTAAAACTTGATAGGGATAGAGGAAAAGTTTGTAGGTTTAGACAGAGGGAAAAAGTTTGTAGAGAAAGTTTAAAATTTTGGAGTTGGATTGTGGGATTTTAACTATTTATATTTGTATGACAAAAATTGTATTGAAATTCTAATTTAATTTGATAGAGTCTAAAAAAAATGAAAATAAATAAAAGAGTTTTTCCCAAAATGGTCCTTCGACTATTTCTCAGTGTATATTAGGCATACAATAGGTAAAAGGACAAAAATACCCTCTATTTTAACACTGATTAGACGAAATATGTAACAGAGGACTGAATTGGGTGAGTTTTTGAAAGTCGATGACCATATTTGGTGCAATGGAAAGTCGAAATGTAAAATTGAGAATGAGCAATAAGTCAATAGTCAAGGGACCATTTTGGAAAAAAAACTCTTTCAATAAATTAACTTACTAGTTACTAGCTTTTCAGCTTCGATCAACTACTAATTTTTCAACTTTCAACTTTTAGCTAGGCGTGCCAAATAGGGCCATAATCTCATTTACTTTAATATTGACAGTAAATGACTAAACGCTACAAGAGCATACATGTTATTGTACATTTTTAGTTAAATAATATATACTAATTTCAATGTATACGTTAAAGTATAAGCATATGTATGCTTGTATATTAAATAATTTTAATGTAACGAGAAAACAATTAAGGCAATTAGAGGCTTTTAATTTGTTTGGTGACGATTGTATTATTATTATTATTGACTATGATTGGAACAATTTATTAAGGACTATGTTTGTATTGGAATTGTGATTTTTTTTTTTTTATAGGAACTGACTCTATTATATTGTAGTATGTACTTTCATTGAGGTTTGATTTCATGACCTCTTATATGAGAGAGTCACTACATGCTATCTGAGCACAAGGTGTTTGGTATTGGAATTGTGATTTTGGTAACTACTCAACTATCAAATAGTATAAAAATAATAGAGATTCTCATTTACATCCCTTAATAAAAGCAATAAGTCAATTCTTATCCACAATCTATTACCTAATATCCAACTGAGCTGCTTGCGCATGCACAATACATCAATTCCTTTATATGTGTTTGGATTTGTTCCACAAAATATGTGCACATACAAAGAAGCAAGTACCTACTCTAATTGAATGATAATACATTATGAACATGTATGCACATTTATTAACTGAAGAAATTTTTATTTTTGAGAAAAATAAAAAATTAAAGAAAGAAAAATTGAGATATTGGAAAATATGTACGGATAAATGTATATATTTTAAAATTAGAATATAGAAAATAAAGAATGAAAATTAGAAAATGAAAGAAAGAAAAAAAGAAGAAGAAGAGATAATTGAAGTAAACACAACTGTTTGATTTACATGTTTTTAACACTCGTAATAAAATTATTCATTATTGATTTGTTGATAGGATATAAGTAATTTGACTCAAATTTATCTTTTTATGATCCTTTGCTAGATAGGGCCACAAAGTATGTTTTACCTAAAATACACATTCGAGTAGTTGTTGTAACCTTTTCTATGAATCAAAGTAATTTGACGCAAATTTATATAATATTCAATTTAGTTGTTGTTTTTTTTTTTTTTTTTTTTTTTGAGACCATCGGATCCTTTGACTAAATAGAATGAGCCTCCTTTGAGACCATCTCACAGATCCTTATGTGAGACGGGTCTAGTCATGATAGGAAATGTAATACTTATGTTGAAAATTGTGATACTAATCATGAATGAATTGTTTGTTACTTATAGAAAAATGTAATACTTTTGAGAAAAATGTAATATTTAGAGTTGAATAGTTTTTTTTTTTTTACAAAGGAAGGGGGACACCCACATATACTATCTATGCGGGGCCAATCGAATACCAGTGGACTACAAGCCACTTGGTATTTAGAGTTGAATAGTTACTTATAGAAAAATATAATACTAATTATGGATAAATTGTTTTTTTTTTAACTGGATAAATTGTTTAATTGTTACTTATAAGAGAAAGGTGTTAATACTCAATATAGTCCTTGACTATACTGGTTTTACTCAATTTAGTCCTAAATGACTTTTTTTTTTTTTGTGCTCAGTTTAGTCCTCGACTTTGATGGTTTTATACAATTTAGTCATTTGTTAAAACTTCTGTAAGTCGACTGTTAGAAATAGGGTCCTAATGGTAATTTATCATCCTTATCCAATTTGGAATGATTCCTTCATCATTCCCTTATTAAGCTCCATGCAGAAATGGAGATCTTCATCCCCAAATCAACCTCAACCCCCCCCCCCCCCCCCCCCCCCCCCCCCCCCCCCCCCCCCATAAATAAATAAATATTTGCCTACAGTTTAAAAAAAAAAAATTAGGGTTGAAGTTGATTTGGGTGCGGAGATTTACATTTATGCATGGATCCTAATAAGGGGAAGAAGGAATCATCCCAAATGGGATGAAGGATGTAAAATTACCATTAGGACCCTATTTCTAACAGTCAACTAACAGAATTTTCAACAAATGACTAAATTGTGTAAAACCATCAAAGTCAAGGATTAAATTGAGTACAAAAAGTCATTTAAGACTAAACTGAGTAAAATCACTATAGTCGAGGACTATACTGGGTATTAACTCTAAGAGAAAGTGTAATACTCATGACAAAAGAATGTGATATTTTTAAATCAAAATGTAAATTAAGAATTGAAGAGTTATTATGATGAAAATTGTAATAGTTATGTGGAGAAATGTAATCCTTATAGAAAATCGGACCTCTAGGGGTGTTTAGAAAATAGTTGTTAACCGCTCAAATTCAAATCCATGACCTCTAAGATGCAACACAAGTTTCAACCCACCAATCTACTTTAACCATTATGGTTGAATCCTACTCACATTGTACTTATCAAAATATAGCGTGAATGAATTTAAAAAAAAAAGGGGGATTTGTTGGCAGCGAGTCTCACCAGACTCGTTCGCAAACCCGTTGCAAGCAATGAGACTTGCCACGGGTCTAGTGGAACCTATTGGCAGACCCGTTGTAAGGTTTTTTTTTTTTTTTTTTTTTTTTTTTTTTTTTTTTTTTTTTTGAATGCCCCGTTGTAAGGTTATTTAAGCGTGTTTTGAAATTTTTTTTTTCTCAAAACACCATTCCAAAACAGCGCTCAAAATAACATTTCAAATTTCAGCGTTTTGGAGCAAAACACTATCCTAAAACATTATTTAACCAAACACTTTTTGACTGTTTGGACGGATTAAAATGTCAAAAATTTTGATTGATCAACCATTTATCAAACAATCCTTAATGTGAAGAGAATATTTTGTTTAGTTTCTTTATTCATTGTACCAAAACAAAAAAAAAAAATAAAAAATATAGAGTCTAAATTTCCATGTGATAATTAGACTAGCCTTTTTAGTTTTTACAGAGTATTACATTTTAAGCAAAATATGAAAAGTAAAAAAGAAAATGGAAAAGTAGGAAAGTGGTAATCACCATTCACCATCTTCTGTCGTCTCTCCGCTTCACATGAGAGGATAGCCAAAGATCCTTCTCGTCTCTCATGCACACACTACAATATATATATTATATATAAAATATACATACATACATATATATCTATATATGGTGTTCACTATTTTAGGTGTAATTCTTCTCCCACCACACTTTATCCTTCTCTTACCCTCTCTTCCTTTCCTCACCATTGATACAATTTCTTTCTCTCTCTCCCTTCTTTATCTCTTTCTATATATTCATTATGCACCGGAATGATTGAACCAAAAATTTGATTTTGGAGCAAAAACAGAGCGAGAGGAAAAGAGAGGGCCTTTCCAGCCCTCTGCTTGCATATGCCTCTCCTCAGATCTTGAATTTTGCCCGCTTGTCATCTGTCTTCGCCCTTTGGTAAATCCTAGCTGTTTGCTTCCATGTATTCATATGCTCTCGATTGTTTAAAGTTGAAGTTTTTGGAACATTCTTGCTCCTCTTGGGATTCTGAATTGTGGATCAAACAATACTTGAAGATCAGATGATCTTTTTTAATTTTAAATTATTCATAGATTTTTTATTTATTTTTTTTTTGGGCTGTTTGATATGTTCTCGATTGTTTTAAATTGATGTTTTCGGAACATTCTTGCTCCTCTTGCGATTTTGAATTGTGGGTCGAACTATTGTTGAAGATCAGATTATCTTTAAAAAAAAAAATTCATGGATGGCGTGCTTTTTCTTTTTTCTGTTTGTTTTAAACTTTTGTTCATTTATATTGTTTTGATGTTGTTGTTGCATAGTGTGCATTTCGATATTATGTATTGGATTGGTGTGACTGATGAGGCAATAGAATTCTGGACTTGCTGATTTACTTATCAAGTTTTACACTATTTGAAAGAATCCTTTTATGATGTTTTCTGGTCCAGGGAGTGATTTTGGATTGTATAGGAAAGTGGGTTGAGAAAAAGTGAACTTTTTCTGTGAATTCTTTCTTTCTGTTTAAAGGGTAAACAGAACAATTTGAATTTTGATTAAAATTTAGAATTTGTTTCATTTCATTTTAATTGTCTGATGGGGTGATTGGAGTTGTTATGTTCAGGATGGCAATGGAGCCTGGAAAATTGTTTGTTGGAGGGATTTCATGGGACACCAATGAAGGCCGTCTCAAAGAGTATTTCCAAACATTTGGAGAAGTAGTCGAGGCAGTGATCATGAAGGATCGTGCCACAGGCCGTGCCCGCGGTTTTGGTTTTGTTGTTTTCGAGGATCCTTCTGTTGCTGAAAGAGTTGTCAAAGAAAAACACATGATTGATGGCAGAACTGTGAGTGATATTCAAAATATTATTATTACTTCTAGATTTGTTTTTGCATTCAAGAATCGCAATTGGTTGGCTTCAGAACTGTGATCATACTAAAGAAATGTGATCAGCTATTACCTTTTGATGTTCACAATGTGAATTTGGCCTTGAACCCGTTTCTTATTTTGCTATTTTCTCCAGGTAGAGGCAAAGAAGGCTGTACCTAGGGATGATCAACACATGAATAGAAATAGCGTAAATATACCATCTTTTCCAGGTTCCATCCGAACAAGAAAGATTTTTGTAGGAGGTTTGGCATCCTCAGTGTCCGAGAGTGACTTTAAAAAGTATTTTGATCAATTTGGGACGATCACTGATGTTGTAGTGATGTATGACCACAACACACAAAGGCCTAGAGGTTTTGGGTTCATCACTTATGACTCAGAGGAAGCAGTAGATAGAGTTCTGCACAAAATGTTTCATGAACTTAATGGGAAAATGGTTGAAGTGAAGCGAGCTGTTCCTAAGGAGTTATCACCGGGGCCAAACCGGAGCCCATTAGGTGGATATAACTCCGGTTTGAACCGAGTAAACAGTTTCCCGAATGGATACACTCTAAGTTCACTAGGAGGTTATGGAGTAAGAATGGATAGATTTAGCCCGACTGTTGTTGGTCGTAGTGGATATTCATTGTTTAATCAGTCAAGACCGACTCTAAACTCCCCATTGAATTTAAACTTTTCGGAAACTGGAAATTTGAGTTCTAATATTGGATACGGGGGTGCCCTGAATTCCTTTAACGGTGGGCTACCAAATAGGTACAATGCCCCAATTGGTAATGCTCCAGGGGGGGTTGGAAGTGGTTCCATGTTAAAGTCAACATCTTGGAACCTATGGGACAGTGAGAATCTTAGTTATAGCACAAATCCCGCCAACTTTGTTGGCTCGGGAAGTGGGAACAGTGGATTGGCTGCTCCCTTTGGAGGTCTTGGAACGATTTGGGGTTCCTCCATTTCAAGTCAAACCGGAAGGAATGGTTGTTTTGACAGTGAAAACTTCACTTACAACAATGGAGGTAATAGCTTTGGTAGTGGGGGAGGATATGCACAAAATAGTGGCTCATATGCTGCAACGGAAAATGTTTATATCCGGGATTCGGGAAACTTGTATGGGACTGGAAACCGCTCGTTCTTTGAGGATCCAACACCGCGTTCTTCATCTCCAAAGCTTGAAGTTTCTGGTTCTTTTGGTTATGGGCTTGAAAGTATATCCTCAGATGTTATGCCTAATAACTCGCGTGGTTGTGTTGGTGGTTATACTGTTACAAATAGATCGAATAGAGGTAAACATATTGATTTTACACTTCCTTTCTGGTTTTTGGAAAGAATTTTGTCGTTTTTACGTCCCTAATGTTGTTGATTTTGAGGGTCTTATCTTTCAAGTTCAAAATTGCCTATTTTCCACAAAGTTACCTAGCATTTGTCCCTCTGTTGCTAACTCCATCAGATGCTAACAAAGCGGGGACCAAAAACAGGAAAAGTGAAGACTCGGGACTAAGAATAATGGACACTTTTGTCCCTATTCTTCTTCACTTTGCTCATTTTTTATCCCCATCCTTTTCCATTTTTGGTCCCCACTCCATCATCAGCATCTAGTGGAGGAGCTAGTGATGAAGGGATAAACGCTACGAAACTTTGTGAACAACGGGGACATTCACTACACACTTTTGAACTTGAGGGTAAGATAGTACCCGCATTCTTGAATTCTTGTTTCTATTTTACATTGATGTTTGTGCTACGTTACTCATAAACTGAAGGACGACAAATATCAAAATTTTGAGTAGTTTTAGCCCGATTCAGTTGTCTTGCAAAATATATGTAATAGCAACGTAATAAACCCGGCCACATTCTTGTTTACTGCCATTTAGGATGATATTGTAATCTTGATGAAAAGACAGTTCTTACTTAACTGCTTTTCATTATGTTGCAGGAATTGCTGCCTAGGAAAGAAGATACGTGTATGGAGGGGAAACCCCTCTTTTGGACATCAAATGCGTTAAGGGTCGTGTTTGTGCAGATAAATACTTCAGGCTAGAGGTTTGAACATCTGCAATGGATCGGATTTTCCATAAAGGTTTGAACTTTAGAGGTTTTTCTTTGACATAGGCTGAGATTTAAAATCGATTAGCGAATATACTTGAAAATGGGAACTTCTTTGCTCGATGAAACTATACTTGCCGCTTTGTTAGAGGTATACGGGAGAGGTACAGTTATGGCGCCATACAGGCGTGGTAGAATTCCCGACTTAAATTATTGTACGTACCATCTGTATGTATGTGATGTAGTTAGATAGAGAAGTGTAATTTTCCTTTTTTTTTTTTGGGATTCTTCTGCTTTTGTTCTTCTGCTGTAATTTTGCTGGCTGCAAGTTTGTTGTTGTATCCTTGTTCGTTCCCCTTTGGGGGCATTGTCAGAAACATTGTTGTAGTACAATAATGTTTTGCTCATCAACAATGAAACATTCATTGTTTGGGAGTGATTATAATGAGCAATGTCCCAATCTGACTCATGAAGTCTTTTAATTTGAATTCTGAATATTGCATAATATATATATTTCGAATTACAAGTTTAATAACGCAATTTAATAATATCGTACAATCTATAATCCAAATATTATGATATAGAATAATACTCACTTTTGTATGTATTATTAGTCTCTAACATACCTTTTTAAATTAGTCAAGGAAAGGATTAAGCATGTAATTAAAATGATAAGAAGCTACATGGAAGTGATTACGAAGGAACCATCCATATACCATGGACTAGGTTTATAGTGCATTGTGGATTTTTGTGTATGTGTGTGTATTTTATGTTGTGAGTTTTTGTGTTTTGTGTTATAAAATTATGTATCTTAAAACTATGAATTTTGTACCTGAAACAAATTAATAATTGTGTCTTATGTTATGAAATTTTGGGTCCTGTATTATGCGATTTGTGTGCCTATGAATACAAATTGTGTATCGAAATTAGATTTTAAAAATAAGTAAATATATAACAGGTCACACTTGTGTGAGAATGTCTCACGGATCTTTATCCGTGAGGCCGGTTGGGTCAGATTAATATGTAAATGTTATACTTATGCTAGTAAATATAATATTATATCATGAATCATGAATAAAATGCCCCTTATAAAGGAAAACATAATACTTTTGTAGACATATGTATACAGAAATCAGGAACCTGTCAGCCTGTTACAGTTCATCATTTTATTGGATTTCACCCTTGGACCTTGGGAGTTACGAATTACAATTGGGGCTTTCACCATTTTCAACACAGGCAACAACTCGAACAAAGCAACATGGTACCAGAAATAATTCCAGAAATCGGGAACTTAGAGCCTTAAGGGCTTCCACCATTTTCAAATTTCAAAGGCAACAACTCCAACAAGACAGTCAAATTAAATACACAAGTAACACAAAAATTTGGGTTTCTGATTTTACTTGGTTTCTCAAAAGATTACCTAGAGAACTAGGGTCTTCTACGAACTACGAAGAGCGAACAGTCGAACTCGAACACCAGAAGTTGGCTATCGAACACTAGAAGTTGGCCTGGTCCAGAACAAGACAACAAGTCAACAAGGTACAAGGATTCAAGAAATAGACAGTGAAATTAAATACACAAATAACACAAAAATTAGGGTTTCTGATTTTACCCAGAGATGAGAGAACTAGGGTCTTCTACGAACTACGAAGAGCGAACAGTCGAACTCGAACACCAGAAGTTGGCCATGGCTTCCACCACTCGAACAATCGAACACCAGAAGTTGACCTGGTCCAGAGCGCAACACAGCCACAGGGCACAGACTATCAGAATCGAGACCACAATCGAGAGACGAGAGGTCTCTGCGAAGTGAGAATGGAGAAACCACAAACCCTAACTCGAAGTCTCGAAGAAGAGACTAAAGACTGAGAGAAATCAGAAATGAGAGAAGTAGAAAACCCTAAGTCGCGACTGCGCAAATGCCAAATGAGATCTGATATGAGAATCTCAACACTAATGCGCATATATATATATATATATATACACACACACACACACACACACACACACACACGATGTCGTATTAGACCTTACATAGCATAACCCTAGTTCTAACTGGATGGTCGGGCGAGTCGGTCTGGCTTTTTTGCAACCCCACCCGATCCCACCTAAACCGCCAAAAAGCACAACACGGGCGGTTTTTCCTCATTTCGGATCGACCCGGTTCAGTTTACACTGTCACGGTCGACTGTTCAGTCGGGTTAAACAGTTTGGTCGGATTTTGCACACCCCTACCTCTAAGGGTGATTAAATGCCCCACCAAAGATTTTGGGACGTGAGACATGCCTAGGGTAAGAGCATCCGAGTTATGCAATTATGGATATGGTTCTCTGTGAACAAGCACTTTAAGAATTCTGAATATGGAGTTATGTAATTATGAATGTCTAGTTGTGAAATTATGAATATATGGATATGAAATTATGAATGTGTAGTTATTATTTCTGAATGTACTATTGTCAAATTATGAATATATAGTTATGTAATTCTGGACATATAGTTATGTAATTCTGGATATATAGTTATGAAATTATGAATATATCCTACTATTTGAATACGAAAGGAAACTGCCTAACGCCATTAACGACGATCCAAACGGGATTTTTTTTAAATGAAACGGCGTCATTTTGCAACCGTGTGCACCATGTATACCGTGTATACATGGTGCACACGGTTGCACAGGATAATGATTGCTAGTGTGGATGCTTTAATGGGCTTTGATTGCGCCACCACTTGCTCACACAAAACGACATGCTCTAGGTAGTAGTTGTCAATTTCCTTCATCATTTAAAAAAAAAAAAAAAAAAAAAAAGCATAGAAATAAGTCAAATAACACAAACCACATAGCTTAATGCGTGCACGCTCGCAGTCTGTGCCTGTCTGTATGTGCATCAGCTCTTGGTCTTAGACTTTACTCTCTTGCTTTTGGTGATTGGTAAATTATACTATGGACCATGGTCCATATTGCAAATATTCATTTTTAATATAAACGGTTCATTTTGTGTGTCAAAATAATGAAGTTTCAGTACACAAAAAATAAACACGTACGTTATAATCTAAAATGAGCCTTATGTTCGTGGCCTACCTTATAAGGTAGACCACAGTTCATGGTATAATAATTATTGGTGATTAGTCCTTAAATTCTATTATGCATACACTCAAATTCACTCCTTGATGTGACAAACAAAGATTGGCTATTTTCATCAATTGTACTAGATTCTTCACTAGCACAGTAGCACATTACACCATTACTTATAAACCTGAATGAAAATTAATTTGGAAGAGCAATACAAAAAGAGAGCCATCATATCATATGAAAGAAGGGTTAAAAGAACTGATGGTTTTGACTACTTAGTATATATGACTACAGTTTGGTTATGGTTTTGCACCGTTTGTTCACGGTTTAAAAAAAATGATAAATTAGAATTAGCGATTTTAGTTTGAACTGTCGAATTTTTTTTAATAGAAATTTTTTATTTTTAAAATAATCCAAAATCAACAATTAAATTTTGAAAGAATTTTTTATTATGATATTTTTTAAATATGATTATATCAAATATTTAAATTTTAAAGTTAAACTAAAAAAAATAAAAATAATTTTGGAGTTGCACTTAATTTTATAAAGATTAAGTTAGCTACATATCTTATTGAAATTTCAATAAGAATCAAAACCAGCATAATTCTTTTACAATTTTGTTATATTTTTTAAGAGTCATTGGTTTCTCCTTCGCCTTTCGGTAGACGGTCCTGAGAATCTCCCACTAAATCTAGGCTTTTCTATTTATTTAATTTTATTTTTTTGGTTCGGATATAATGTTGATGTTGGGCATATTGCAATCAGCGTTGTGCTATAGGGCTGATATTAAGGCATTGGGCTTTGTTTATAGTAGCCATCTATTGGGCTAAACTACAAATAATATATATATATATATATATATATATATATATATATATATATATATATATAGAGGATGCACTCAGGTGCGAATAAGTGCCCAGGAAGGAATATGCGAACGAATCAGCACGCGATACGTGTTCAGATCTATTAGCTTAAAAAAAACGCGGTGACATTTTCGTAAATAATTGAACATCGAAGTGCAAGTAAAATCACTTACAAGTGCACTTACTTTCACCTATAAATGCATGTAATTTTGCCTTGTTAGCATTCACTTCCCGCAAACATTCATGCACCTGGGTGTGCTTATAACTATAGGTGTAACTATTTATAACTATTGCAACTACTTATAACTATAGGTGCACCTACTTTCACCTATAAGTGCATGTAATTTTGTCTTGTTAACATTCATTGTTCTGAGTTCAGCGGGTAGTAATACCCCTGAAAGCCACTCGCAAACATTCATGCACCTAAGTGCAACTACTTATAACTATCTGTGCAACTACTTAGAACTATAGGTCCAACTACTTATAACTATATGTGCAACTACTTATAACTATAGGTGCATTTAGTATTGATGCTCAGTGTAAATTTTTACATGCCCCTCTAATACATTTTACATGCACTTGTAATACATTTTACTTGCACTTCGATATTCAATTATTTACGAAAATACCACCGCGCTTTTTAAAAAAATCAGTGTTTCTCATCCATTAGATCTGGACACGTGGACGAACAGAATCCATTCTTATTTCGCTCCTGGGTGAAGCATTCGCACCTGAGTGCGCTTATATATATATATATATATATATATATATATATATATATATATATATATATATATATATATATATATATATATATATATTGTCAGTTATTCGGTCACCGTAAATTTTAAACATCAATAACTGACAAAGAAATTAAATAGTCGAATAAACGTTTTTTTAGATACTCGATAACCGATACTGATCGAAAATCAAAATTTTCGGTCGGTTGCACTATTGCCTATCGGTTATCGATTTTTTGCCAATTTTGCTCACCCCTAACTATATCTGTTAACAAAATCAATTGATTATACACTTTGCACTTTTAAATTTTTACACCTCAAAACAAGGCAAATTATGCTGTGCATCCGTATGCACCATGCATGGTGCATACGGATGCAAAAACGACGTCGTTTTAATAAAATGTGCGTCTCCCCTTAAAAAAAAAAAAAATCAGGTTCGATTCCCAGCAACAACATATGAACTAAAATTCCATAATCGATGAACTATAATTCCATAATCGATGAACTATAATTCCATAATCTAATCTATGAACTAAAAATTTCAGAATGAATGAACTAAAATTCCATAATCTATAAACTAAAATTCCAGAATCGATGAACTACAATTCCATAATCGATGAACTATAATTCCATAATCAATGAACTATAATTCCATAATCTATGAACTAAAATTCCAGAATGAATGAACAATATAATGTTGTTGCAGGGAATCAAACCTGAATTTTTTTTTTAAAGGGGAGACGCGCATTTTTTAATAAAACGACGTCGTTTTGGCATCCGTATGCACCATGCATGGTGCATACGGATGCACAGCATAACTATCCTCAA